CCTTCATAGAAACCAAGCTGAGGGCCCCGAAGCTGAGAACGTCCACAATACTGCCTTCTCGCCAAGGGGTCCACCTTATACAACTCGAGGTAATGCAACTCCATGGTGGACACCCAAGTTGCGAATTCAGTACCAAGAGCCTGGGCGTCATCATCAGCAGCTTGAAAGGCCAGAGACTGCTGAACAAAATCAGGAACAACCGATTGCGAAGGCCTGGGCGCCACCTGCTGCCACAGCAAGTCCTTCGCCTCAGCAGACCACTCAGCCTGGATGGAAGCGTAGGTGTCCAATTCAGAATCCGAGACGGCCACCTGCTCATCATCGTTATCTTCAGGGACATCCGTATCTTCCTCGTCCGTGAAAAACTCGTCTTCGTCCTCACCCTAGAGGGAGTACTGCAAGGGCGGAGGGCTCTTGATGCTCAGCTTACGCCTCGGTCCCCACGTCGGCGGAGACGGCGTCAACGCCGGCTGGGGGCGAGCATCTCGAAGGGCCTGGGCCTCCGCTTTCTTCTGCGAACGCTTGCTGTCAGGGTTGGCAACAGGCTTTGGGCGAGCAGGATGAGGGAACGCACGAGGCAAACGCATGATCCAAGCTCGGGCCCGACTGGCGTCGAAGTTGAGCTGAAGCTTGAGACCGTAGTGAGCCTTCCCCGCCTCCTCGACCGCCTGAAAGTCAGCAAGCAACGACTCGACCCAAGGCACCGCATGCTGAGACAACCATGTAGTCCAACATTCGACCTGAGCCCAGCGTGCAGGTATACTCCGCGTTGGTGGGGGTGATGATCGCACCGTTGACCAAGGCCAGCCAGCCTGTGCTAGCCAGCTCCTTCGGCGTCATATTCCAATCACCGATGGCCAGCCATGGCCCCTGGATCGTGGAAACCAGAGTGCCAACGTTGGCTAACTTGGGAGCATTCGCCTTCGGGCCCACCGACGAGGTCATGTACACTCCAACAATCAACAGAGACTGGCCTTGGGCCCTCAGCTGCATGGCCACCATGTCCCGAAAATCAATGCCAGGCTGGTCCTTCGGACATCGATCCAAATCTCGCAACCCGACCTGATCCGAGGGCGATGAAGCTAGGTGGCGCATCGACTGAACCTTGTACTTCTCAAGGGTGCCCATGGTGATGCCTCCTGCCTTGGACTTACCATTCGACTCGTAAGCCGCAGAGAGCATGCCAATGTAGCCAGCCTTCCTCCAGTCATGCAGCAAGTCGTGGGACCCCGCAACTGGAACGTGGGTCTCTGGGAAGACAAGGATATCCGCTTCACGATCGCGACAGACCGACCGCGTGGCAGGGCCCCACCAACCCAGGTTTCGCATATACAGAGTTCGCCTCGTCGACGAAGTCTGCTGTCCTGGCACTGAGTCAAAAGCCGCATCGGCGCAAGTGGGGAGAAGGGATGGCACAGCTTCGCTCCGACAGCCAAGATCGCTCCCCGCCGCCACAGGAGCCCCCAGCGACACCAATGATGAACATGTCCCCGCTCCAGGCTCAGCCCTGGCCAAGCGGAGAAGCCCCGATGTCCCAGTCGACCCCGAGGCCGAAGAACATGGGGCGCTGCTGGACGCTCCCCCCCCCATCATCCACCCATGTGGGCGGGCCCATGGCGTCAGACACCACAGGTGGGGCGGGGTCCAGAGGGCCCTGGGAAGTGGCCGACGAGCGCCGCGGCGTCCCCGAAGACCCAGCACATGGACCACCACCTTCTTCGAGGCTCGCAGCCGAAGGGTGGTCAGGCGTCCCCCCCAAGGGCACCATGGGCGCATGGCAGGTGTCCCCAGGCACAAGGCAGGACACCATAGGCACTGGCAGGTGCCCAAGGGGGGAAACATCTGTCACACAAGTAGGGGCCGATCTTGTACGTGGTAAAGGCGGGCTCGCCCCTCGAACACTAGGCCCGCCGCGAACGAGGGGATCAGAGTTGCTAAAGGCCAGACTGGCCTGCCGAAGCCGCCGTCGACCTCGCTGTGGCCAGCATCGCCTCCGCCTCCGCTTTCAACTTGGTCTCAATGGCCGCCAGACGGGCAGCCTCAACTGCATCGGGTGCTCCAGGAGCGGTCGCCGCTGCAGGCGCATCCCCACCAGAGGCGGACGCTGGCGCCGCAGACGCTGCAGGCGCAGCAGGCGCCTGGCCCGCAGCCTGCGCAGCGGCGTCGCCTGCAGGAGCCGCGGCTGCCCCAGCAGCGGCGCCTGCCCCAGCAACGGGCGGTGGCTCAGGGGAGTTCTCCCTGCGCCTCTTGGTGATCTTCTCGCGCATCTCCGCGAGCTTATCCCGATGCTCCTTCAGCTTGTCATGAGCCTCGCCGAAGGTGGCACGCAGGGTGTGCATCAACGCCTCCATCACCGCCTTCTTACGCTTGTCCAACTCAGCGGCGTCCGATGGGGGAATGAGCCCATCCGCATTGCTGAACTCCTCGCCCAACGACAAAGTGAACGGGGACTCGTCCACCGCCTGAGCAGACACCAGCGCCGACAAATCGATGGTGTTGGGGGACACCCCCGCCTGTGCAGGAGTCTGAGCCGCAACCGTGGGCACCATCGAGCGGAACAGCGTGGCCCTCTCAGCCTCGGCTCGGGCCAAGGTGGCTGCTGCATCCTGCATGGTGCTCTTGCACTTCTCAAGCTCCATCGTCAACTTGAGCTGCTGAGACTGCGCCTTATCGAAAGCCGTCTGGGCCTTCTGGACCTTCGACGCCGCCGCCGTCACCTGCTGAGTGATGGGCTGCGCCGACTCCGCCTTCTTTCCTGCAGCCCGAGTCGCATCCAGCAGCGCCTGGGCCGCCTTCGCCTGCTCGGAGCCGCCTCCCTTGATGACGGCCTCTAGCTGCTCCTCGAGGGCGGCCTGCTGCTGCAACTGCTTGCCCTTGCCCTTACCCTTCGCGGGCTTAGGGCCCGCCCCTTCGCCATCTCCCGCCTCAGGAGGAGGTAGGTTGCTGAAGGGCGCTCCACACAAGCACGTATTTTTATACATCGGCAGCTTACTCGTCCAAGCCCAACGCGGGCACGACGAGCACTTGACCTTCGCGTCCTGCGACTGCTGTGCCCCTTCGCGAGGCCTCCTCTGAGCCCCTGGCCATGGCGGAGGCGGCGGCACAATCCACGACTGCTGAGCCACAGGGTGCCACGGTGCCCAGCCGAAACTGGAGCTCGTTGGAGGCGCTTGCTGCAGGTGCTGGGGCCCAGGTGGACGAGGGAGGGGTGGCCAGGGTTCTCCATCCTGCACCTCCTGCATCTTCCGAGCCTGTCGCCACTTTTTGCTTTTGCCCATCGGGCTGACCGACTATTAGTGATCTGGATCCCCGAACTCGGGGACTTCTGATCCCAGCCGAAATCGCTTGGAGATTGTCGGTGGCCACAAAAGCTCGCAGTGCACCTGAGCACGGCGAGCGGTCGGGGCCAAAACGGCTGGAGGAGGAGGAGGAGGAGGAGGAGGAGGAGGAGGAGGAGGAGGAGGAGGAGGAGGAGGAGGAGGGGGAGGAGGAGGAGGAGGAGGAGGGGGAGGAGGAGGAGGAGGACACGCCCCCATCAAAAGCCATGCGACCATGCATTGCGCATCCGAGGAGAAGGCAGTGCTCGCCATGAAGCAGACGGGCCTACAGGGAAATGGTCGGAGATGGCCAGGACCCAGCGAAGTTAAGGAAGCAGGAATTAGCGATTGGGAAGTAAAGCGAAGAAGGGTTTAGTGAGTGGGACCCCGAACCCAACATATTCATCATGATCATGAAGCCAAGTCTGCCGCCGTAGCTGGTGCTTCTTCGGGTGACGGCCGTTCTGGTGAGTGGAATGGGGCGGCGGGAGGGGGGCGTTCCCGGATTAAACTAGGTCTCCCTACACCCAGGCCCGCCAACGCCCGAAACGGGCCCTCAGGTTTCTGTCGCTATCTTCGGGCTCTCCGGGCTGTCCGCGGGCCCCGGGGACCGTCAGAAGACGACTCGGGGCCTTTGGGGGTCCAGGGCCCGCTTTTCTCAGGGCACGCTGCCTTCAGCGGTGCCGATCTCCGCTGCCGTGCCCTCGCCCCTCCGAGGAGGCCCTCGTCGCCGCGGCCGGACTCGCCTCGGAGCCTCGGGTCCCCTGCATCCTGGAGTTTGCTGGTTCCCTCCTCCAGGCACCGAGGCGCAGTGGGTACGGATGAGAATCTGGCCCCTGGAGGCCAGATCTTCATCCATGTCCAACGCGCCTCGGCTTCTTGTGCGCCTCCCCCCAGAAAGTCCAAGACGCAGTGGACATGGATATCAGGCTTGCCCGCACTGGTCAGCGCGCCCTGGGAGAGACCGTGGGAGCTGCAGCTGCGGCAGCTTGGAGACGGCTGGCGATCGGAGGTGGCCCAGCACTGGTTCGGGCCAGCAGGAAGGGGGCGCAGGTTGGCGGGTCTGGGTTCAAATCTGTTTTGATCATTTTTGGTTTTGGGGGGCCGTTTTCGGGCCTCGCGACAGTCAGAAGCGGATCTGGGGCTGAAAATTGCACCAGATGGACCCTGGAAGGGGTCCAGGGACAAATTTGGGCCGGATTTGGACTCATTACTCCTCCTGATCGACTGTCTGGGGTCCCAAACAGTTCCGACCCCCCGGCCGCCTCCAATCGACAACGTCGTTTTTGGTTCCCGCATCACTGGCACGGCCGGCGAGTTGGGCGGCAGTGGCAGCAGCAGGGATGGATTCGGAAGCGTCGGCGGCGCATCCCCGGCAAGGGGAGGGGCACCGAGACGGCGCCCCGTTACGGACAATTCAGGAGTTGTGGAAGGCGCGCGAAGCTTCGGATGCCGTTCCAAGGGATGGTCGGCTCGACGTCTGGGGGCTCTCCTGGCCGATCGAGGGAGTGGTCTGGGCCCTCTGCGGGGCATCGGGCCGACTTGCGCATCCGTCCGCGCTGCGGCGATCAGGGGACGCTTCCCTGCAGCTGGGGGTAAGCGGGACGCAGCCTTCGGCAGCAGGAGGGGTACATTTGGAGAGGGCAGAAGCAGCCTCTTCCACCCAGCCCGACCCAACCCGAGGCATGGCATGGTGCAGCCTCTTCTGCGGGGGTGGCTTCTACATCTACGTCGCGGTTGCTGCCACAGGCTGTACAGGGACTTGGGCAGCAGGTGGCGCAGTCGCTTGCTTTCAACCTCAGCCGTATTGGCAGAAATCGGTGGAAGTCGCAGGCAGAAGGAGCATTCCGCTGGGCTGGGCGGGCGGGGCTGCCAGATGGGCCTAGGCCCCCCACAAGCCCGATCTAGACGAAGCACGTCCTCAAGAAGCCTACAGTCGGCACGTAAAGTACGCAACCGGCCTTCTGGCAGGTGCCCCACGGAAGTTCCTTTTCTCTCAATGGCCCCAGGGACTTGCAGAAGCTCTGGGGCACTTTGAGACCATCAGAGATCGATGAAGAATGTGCCCCAAGATTTCCTTTAGCAAGATATCGTATGTACGTTCCTGCTGTAGGTACGGTCGCAAGGCCACACCTCACGAATCTCTGACCAACAGATGGAGAATATCATGCGCTCCGCTCTTCAGTGTCTGCGCCATCTGGGCCATGGCTGGCGATCTGCTTATCGGGTGCGGGTATTAAGTATCAGCAACGTACCCGTGACCTGCCAAAAAGGCCATGGAGTGGACACAAACAGGATCTATCAAATCGGGGGCCAACGCTAAATTCTGTAGGGGTCCCTTAGCGGGTTTGTGGCATGGTTGTCGAGCACGTGCCCACATAAGCGATATATTGCGAAGTACTCACAAAGCATGGGGAAGCCAAGTCGGCAAGTCAGTGGTAAGGATAAGTCCGTGTTTTTGTCCAGCAATCTTCGCCCCTGACATTGTGGGGCTCAGGCAGGATCCAACATCTTCGGCCCGTCCCGCCCTTGTGCCTGTTGTGCGGGTTAAGACGCAGTGGGAGCCATTGAAGGCCGGAACATGGTCTTAGCCATGTTAGTGATTGTGCATACGGACGGTTTGGAGCACGAAGTTTGAACCCGGCGCTACGGATCTTGTTTTTTCTTGCGACAATGTATTGTGAATAAAGAGCGTATAGTACTTAAGACAAAATGAGGCCAACGAAGTTGAGACCTGCTCACCATGAAGCTGGATACACATCATGCGACCAGCCAGTGCGAGAACCTGGTGCACGTCTCTCCCCACGTCTTTCCAGCGCTCGGCCATTCTATGGCCGCGTACGCCAGATTTCCACGGGTGTATCGAGAGCGCGCCCTCTGGATGCTCCACGTGAGTCGAGCCTTTTTTCTTCGTCGTAGCTCAATGCAGGATCAAGCTCTCACATCTTGCGCAAATGGTTTCCGAAGACTAAGAGAGCTGATTATGTAAGCATGGCCTCGGTCTGCCTTGCAGTGCCCCTGGAGTGCTCTTGCAGCGCCCCTTGGCACCATGGCAGTGCAACGAGACGCACTGCCACGCACTGAGCTGCCTGCTTTGTTCTGCTCTGCGTCGCTTTTGATCGCAGTCCTTCGTATTGTTCTAGTCGGCTGAGCATTGCACTGACTTGCATTGCTTTCACTTGGGTTGCAGCGTCTTCCTTTGCGTTATGTTGCATCCCATTGAGCTGGATTTGCTTTGCCTTGCGCTTCCTCATATGGCATCTGCACTGCGAGTTGTGTTGCTTCGCTTTTCAGGTGGGGAGGAGATGTCTTCCAAGAACCTGGGGGGGGGTGCTCTTGAGGAAGTGCGGGATGGATCCTCAAAGAACCAGGCCGAAGACGCAATTTGTCCCCCCACCCTGTTGCCCAGAAGAAGTTGAGACAGTTGTGGCCTTGATGCCTGGAGCGCATGCGAATCGCTTCCAGTGCAGCCTCTCAGCAGAAAGCCAGTACGGGATGGAGATTGCCCTATAGCCCTGCGCACGTGACCGTATTCCATGAAACCACTGCGCATGTGCCTGTCTCTCACGGTTGTGCGAGCCCCACTGGTGGGCATCGAGCAGCAGGCTCTGCCAGATCTGTTCACATTGCGTCGCGCCGCCCCTGGGCTGGCGACGAATTGCGTTCGTGAGGGGGTAGGGGGGGGGGCAGCACTGGCCTCGGCGACATGGCCGTCACGTGACGTGGCCTGAGAGGACCTGCGAACTGAAGGTGTCAAGCAGCAGTGGTCCGCGGGCCAAGCGTCGCCAGCAAGTTCAAACAGTCCCTGTGGCGCCAGAAGAGTTTGACCGTAGCCTGTTGACGAATGCCCCCATGCTGGATCTGCTACGTTGTGCATTGCTGCCTGTGGATGGGCAAAACGGCTCTGGGTCTGGGCCCCTGCCCAGCAATGGGACGAGACTGCTTGCTACCCCTCCAGTTCTAGCCAGCTTGCAGGAGGATCCGTTCATGTCGCGGCCGTGGGCCGCTGACTGCCGGCCGCCGCCGCTTTTCAGTATAAGAACGCGCGTTCCCATCTCAGCCGCAGCCGCCCAAGTGCCCGAAGGGCCACTTGATGCAGCACTCCAGCATGACGCCGTCGGCTAGGTGGCACAGCATTTGCGACATATGTGGTGCGGACTCTCAGTCTCAGAAGGCCCGGCTGTGATGGGGGCGCATGGGTTGTGAAAGGAGAGGCAGTGAGGGAGGCACACACGGTGATTTTGCCGAGAGTAGCAGATAAGACCGATATTCGATTGTGGCAATGGCAGCGGTGGACCAGATGTCCGCAGTATGAGCAGCCCATCCAGAGCCAATGCCCGTGAGAGCTGTTTGGAGGAGGGCAGTAGGTAAAAATCTAGTGAATCATGGATGCCAGCGACGGTGAAGTTAGAGACTTCGGGGAGCCCTTCTGGCGCCATTCTGGAGGCTGGTGAGGCTCTCTTGGGGCCCTCTTGAGAGGGCCTCGGAAGGCCTCTCAGGACCACCTTGGAGGCCCTCGATCAAGCATGCGAGGGTCTGCAGCTCGAAGGAGGGACTCCAGGAGGGAAGAGTGAGGATGGAGGAGGGAGGGGGGATCCAGACGAGCAGCAGCAGGAGGGCCCGTCTCCCCCCAGGGACCTGGCGGCGGCAACGCGCGCTGGAAGTGCGAGGATTGCGCATACCCCTCGCCGCGCGCTCGCCGTATCCGGTGCCACCGCGGCCGAGGAGGGCGGAGGGGGGGAAGGAGGAGGGGAAGAGTGCAAGCAGGAAGATGAAGAGGAGGAGGAGGAGGACGACGACGACGAGGACGAGAACGGGTGAAGAGGAAGACTAGGCCGAGGAAGTCGGAAGAGGAGGAGGAGGAGGAGGAGGAGAAGGAGGAGGACGAGGAGGAAGAGGGAGGGAGAGGAGAGGATGGAGGAGGGGGAGGGGGGATCAGAACTGGAGGACGAGGTTGGCGAAGACGAGGGAGGAGGATGAGGGAGAGAGATGGCTGGGGATGGGGTGGAGGAGAGGGAGGGCAAACAGGGGATGGACGAAAAGGGTGAACAAAGGGACCAGAGTACATACAGGATGCATCAACGATTCTGCAACGCAACCTCCCGTCCCAAGTCCCTCGTCAGAATCTCATGCAAGCAGCCCTTTTCGTTACTGTAAGCGCCCCCTTGAAGGCGGGCGCGGCATTTGCCTGCCGTTCATGCGAGAGCCTCGTCTCTCCTTCTAGCTGTGGGAAAATAAAACAACGGGGTATGCTGAATCGCATCAGGGAAGTTCCCAGCAGTCAGCCAGGCCCATTTGGAAAAGGAGCAACCCTCCATCCGTATTGAAGACGCCTACCACGAATTACCGCCCCCTGCCTTTCTAGAAATATCGATGTGGCGAACAATTGGGCCAAGGCTTGGCAAAGCTATTGGAGTATGTCCCACCCCAGCCGTTGTGGAACTCCTTTGGCGCTCTCGTGGGGCCTCCTGGTGGCTTCCTGGGAGCCTCTTGGGAGCCTCCGAGGGGCTTCTTAGGCGACCTCCTAGGGCCTCTTGGCGATGCCTTGGGCGCGTCTGGGGGCCTCCACAGGGTCTCTTGAGCGCTTCGGGACCCTCATGGGGATCTCAGGGACCTCTTGGGGCCGTCTTGGGGGCCTCTTGGGCCGTCTTGGGGCCCTCTTGGCCAGTCTCTGGGCCCTCTTGGGAGCGTCTGGTGCCGTCTTTGGACTATCTTGGAGGCCTCTGGGGCTGTCTTCGGCTGTCGGAAGCCCGAAACGACGAGAATGCGACCAATATTGAAACACGCCTCTGGAAGAGCAATATTGTTGGTCCCATGGAGGTTCCATCGGAGCCCTCTTGGCATGTCTTTGGGGCTTGTTGGGCCGTCTGGTGGGCATCTTGGGCCGTCTTGGAGACACCTTCGGTCGTCTGGGCTCTCTTGCGGCCGTTTTGACCGTCTTGGAGGCTTCTGGAACCGTATTGGAGGCCATATTGGGCCATCTTGGCCATCTTGGAGGCACTTTTGAGGCCATCTTCTGAGTGATACTCTTTGCCTGGGCTTTGGCTTTGTCCGGTTCTTGCGCGTGGCTGGTTGGATCGGACTTTGGGGAGGGTGCAAGCAGTTGACGCTCAGCACGCAAACACTTCCTCTTGCAGGCAACGGTGGACGGCGGATCGAGTGGCCTTCGGCCCATCCCGCCATTGCGCCTGGGATGGAGGAGATTCATGAGGGCCGGAGAGGGGGAAGGAGGAGGAGGAGGAGGAAGAGGAGAACGCAGAGGAGGAGGAGGAGGAGGAACAGGAACATGAGCAACCGAGGTTGCATCAACGATGCTGCAATACACACTCTCGCCCCAAACCCCCTTCTCAGAAGTCCCCACAGGCGTTCCTCTTCAATGCAGCGAGCGTCACAAGCTCCTGCCGTTCAGGAGAGAGCCCCGTCATGAACAAGAAAGCACACTATACAATCCTTACGTTGGCATGGCGCGAAGAGGCAGAGCACATACATATTCAAGGCGTTGTCCAGCAAGAGCCTGTGTTAAGCATGAACCGCCCTCCCAAGCTTGCGTATCATCTGTGCGAAGTGGGGTAGCAATGCAACCATGGGTGCGGAACTCTTCCACGAGATCCGCATGCTGAAAAAAGAGCCACCCTCCGTCGGTGAACCAGTGGCATAGGTCCAAGATCGTGGTCCTCGATTGCCGAGGGGATCGCTAGCGAGAGCCCATTTTGGATCAGAGGCGTCTTGCATCCGCGTGATTGTCGGAAGCATGTAAGACGAACGTGCTCGGCGCTGATGCGGAAGCCGCTTTGTGAAGATCAGTGTGCCCTCCATTCATTTAGGTGTTGGATGTGTTCAAGACGAGTGCGCACGGCGCTAAGGCGAGAGCCACATCTTGAAAACGATTCGCCGTTCCAGACGTTCGAGACGACGGTCGGAAATGGGGGGGAATCTGGCGTCTCGTTGGTGGTGCTTCGAGTCTGCGCAGCGCGGTCGCGCCCTCAGGGCAGCGCGGGAGCTAGCGCTTCAGTCAAGGGAGGAAAATCTACCCGGACCGGACAATTGGCGTTTACTAAACGGCTCTGGGCGTTTGCTAAACAGCCTTGCCTTGTTCGGTTCCTTCAGTGGGGGCGTTTACTAAACGGCCTCGCTTGTCGGGGTGGTTATTGTTGGGGTAGATTGTTTGCCCTCTATTCAGAGGAGGCTCGCGAAGCTTCGGGAGAGGCGAGGGACAACCACAGAAAACGAGACAACCACTTCCACGTCCTCGAGGACCGCTGCCGCCCCCGCCCTCCGATCATCCGGCGTCCCGCTCCGTCTCCCCGCCGCCTCCTCTGCGCTTCCCCCCCCCAATCGCTCCCCCCCTCCCCGTGGGAGTCCACGCTTCACTGCAGAGGCCCCCGCGTCGCACGCACACACACACACACACCCACACACTTACACACTCACACACACTCACACACACACACACACTTACGCACACTTACACACATACGCACACTTACACACACATACACACACAAGCAAACTGACACAAACAAACACACACATACACCAGACCAGTAAGTGAACGCACGAAGTGGGAGAGGGCCTGGATGATGGGTGAGGAGGGGGCAGGACCTGAAGAAGGGAAGAGGGAGAAGGAGGAGGAGGAGGAGGACCAGAGTAAGCCCACGATGCGTCAACGACTGCGTACCCTTCCGTCTCAAGTCGCCTTTTACGCAAGTGCCTGCAAATACCACTTTCCTTTGTGGGAAGCACCCCCCTCAGAATGACGAGCGCCCCGTGACCTTGTCCTCAGGCGTGACCCCATCTCGTAAAGGTTCCACCCTCGTCATGCGAGCCAAAACGATCACACGGATGACCTATGATGATCCGTGCAAGGGTTGCAGGATGCATATGTTTTGGCCATGCGCGTTGTGGAAGTACCCAAGACCCATGTTTCAATTCTTTCGCAATGTGGGAGATCAGGTTACAGAATTTGTGGAGGTCTCAAGCGAGAGCTACATTTTGCAACTGAACCAGCCTCCATGCGTAAAGCTGTTGGAAGCATTCAGAACGAATGTGCGCGGTGCTACCGCGAGAGCTGGGCTTCCAAAACAAACCAGCCTCCATCCGTGTAATTGTTGGACGCCTTCATAACCAAGGTGCGCGGCGCTATCTCAGGAAACTCGTTGTAAGGATGTCTCACGCGAAAACCCAGCGCGGTCTGCGGACGACTGGTGGTGCGAACGGGGGGGCGCCAGTATTCTTAAGGAAGAGGGGCGGGGGCGAGAGGGAGGAGGGGGGAAGAGGGAGGCGGAGGAAGCGGAGGTGGAGGAGGAGGCAGAGGGAGGCGCGAGGAAGAAGAAGAGAGAGAGGTGGAGGCGAAGAGGAGGAAGCGGCGAAGAGGAGGAAGAGGGGGAGGGGGAAGGGGAGGAGGAGGGATGGAGGAGGCGGGGGAGGGATGGAGGAGGCGGGGGAGGGCTGGACGAGGAGAGCCGCGCGTGGCCGGCCCCGCGGGCCGCAGCGAGGGCCCCCGCGAGCATCTCCCGAGGATTGCGACTACGACGTGTGCTTCCGGTGCCGCCCGTGGTCCGAGGCCGCACCCCGCCCCCCCCGCGGCCGCCGTGGCCCCGGGAGCGGGAGCCCCGTGAGGAGCGGCAGCAGCAGGAGAGGAGGAGGAAGCGAAGGGCCAGGGCCTCGAGGATCCTTTTCTACATCTCAGGGGAGGAAAAGGTGCCCATGCCCCTACCCTTCGCCCGTTTTCCCCTTTTTGGGCCTGCTCGGCGGCCAACGTCGCCACCGCTGGATTCGCCTCGAAATTCCGGTCAGAACACACCCCAGGAGAGGTCCAGGGAGTAGCGGTATCGGTACCTTCCGGTTTCCCCAACATCCACTCGCTCACGCGAGGCTCCGAGGCTCTGGTTATCCCTCTTAAGCTGCTGTGCAGAGACCGCCCCCCATGGAGCTATTCAATGTTGATGCTGATGCTGATGCTGATGCTGATATTGATGATGTTGATGATGCTGGTGGTGGTGGTGCGGTGGTGATGATGACGATGATGATGGTGGCGATGCTGCGATGATGATGACGACGATGATGGCGATTATGGTGTTGGTGATGATGATGCTGCTGGTGATGGTGATGGTGGTGCGGATGCTGATGATGCTACTTATAAGGGTAACGGTGATGATGATACTGGTTGTAGTTCTGATGCTGATGGTGATTTTGGTGGTGGTTTTGGCGATGATGATGCTGCTGATGATTATGGAGGTGGTGATGATGATGACGACGATGATGGTAATGGTGGCGGTGGTGGTGATGATGGTGATGATGATAGTGATAACGGCGACGACGACGATGATGATGATGATGATGATGATGGTGGTGGTAGTGCTGGTGTTGGTGATGATGCTACTGATCATGATTGTGATGCTGATCGTGGTGATGAAGCTACTGATGATGGAGTTGGATGATCTCGGTGTTGGTTGTGGCGATGACGATAGTGATGATGATGATGATGCTGCTGAGGATGATGACGGTGGTGGTGGTGGTGGTAATGATTATGTTGATGAGGATGATCATTGTGGCAGCGATGATGATGATGGTGACGATAACGACGACGATGATGATAATAGTGGTAGTGGTGATGACGATGCTGATGATGATTCAGCTGATGAAGACAATCATGCTGATGCTGATGATGATGAAGACGATGATCATTATACTGATACTGACGCTGATGTGATGGTGTTGGCGATGGCCTCGGTGATTATGATGATGGTGCTGCCGTTGGAGGTATCGGTGATAATGATGTTGATGTTGATGGTGGTGTTGGTGGTGGTGGTGGCGATGATGATGATGATGACGACGATTCCGATGGTGGTGATGACAATGGTTTTGATATCGGCGACGATGATGGTAATGATGTTGTTGCTACTGAACATGATGTTAATGCCGTTGCTGCCCATGATGTTGACGATGATGAGGATGGTGATGATGATGAGTGTGATGTTAGTGTTGGTGGTGGCAGTGATGATGGTGACGGTGGTGGTGGTGGTGATCATGATGATGGTGGTGGTGGCGGCGAGGATGCTGATGATGACGATGGTGCTGATAATGATGGCGGTGATGGTCATGGTCGTGGTGTCGGTGATGATGATGCTGATGCTAAATCTGATAACGATGGTTATGGTGGTGATGATTAGAATGCTGCTGATGATGACGGTGGTGGTGGTGTCGGTGATGATGGCGATGATGACGATGATGACAGAGGTAGTGCTGGTGGTGGTGATGATGAACATGCTGGTGGTGGTGATGATGATGGTGGTGGTGGTGGCGGTGGTGACGATGCTGATGGTGGTTATGGTGGTGGTGATGCTGATGATCGTGATGGTGTGGTGATGACGGTGACGAGCATGCTGATGATGATGCTCGTGACGCTGATGCTGGTGGCGGTGAGGTTGATGGCTGTGGTGATGATGGTGCTGCTGCTGATAATGATGATGATGATGATGTTGGTGCTGATGCTGATGATGGTGATGCTGCTGGTGGTGGCCATGCTGATGGTAGTGCTGGTGGTGGTGCTGATGATTGTGGTGGTGGTGACAGTATGGTCGAGGTGGCGATGGTAGTGGTGATGATGGTGATGGTGGTGATGATGATGGTTATGGTGATGGTGGGTATAATGAGATCGATGCGTGTGATGGTGATCCTGCTGATGACAGCGTTACTGATAGTTGTGGTGTGGCGGTGATGGCGGTACCGATGATGATGATGATGATGATGATGATGATGATGATGATGATGATGATGATGATGATGATGCTGATGATGATGATGATGATGGTGGTGGTGGTGGTGGTGGTGGGGGCGGTGGTGACAATGGTCGGCGTGGTGGCGGTGATGATGGTGGTGGTGGTAGCTGTAGTGATGATGGTAATGGTTCTGGTGATGATGGTCACGACGACAACGAGGATGGTGATGGTGGTGGTGTTGATGGTGCTGCTGATGGTGATGCTGCTGATGTTGACGATGATGCTGGTAATGGTGATGTGCATGATGTTGGTGATGTTGATGGTGGTGTCGGTGGGGTCGGTGTTGGTGTTGATTTGTTACTCGGCATCAGGGCCAAACGAGCCAGCACAGCGTTAAAGAAACAAGTATGGTCCGCCGCAGAGGGCCGTATCTCTCGTGAGTCCCCGCTTTGGTGCCACGCTTCGCGGGTGCTGACACAGGGGAGCTGCATGGCCCTGCCACGAGGCATCTTCGAGGAGGCTTTATTCGTCAGCGGCGGCCTCATCCTCGGCTGCTGTACCGAGCTGATCGTGAGAGCCCTCGGGCGCTTCACCGTCGAGATGGACCGACCCCGAGTCGACAGCTGCTGGGCCGTCTGGCCCATACGCACAGAAAGAAGCTGCTGAGACTGGCGGCGCACGCCCTGCGGCATGCTCCTGCTCTGAGTCTTCTGGGACTGGCAGCGCACGCCCTGTGGCATGCTCCTGCTCTGAGTCTTCTGAGGGCGGGCGCTGGTGCTGTACCTGTACACCGTGGCGGCTGGCAGGCAACGGAGGTCCCCTAACACTATTGCTCGAGCGTCTCCAGCCAGTGCGCCATCTCTTCATCGAGTCATCCCGCTGGCGCCACCCCACGGTGGTGCTGCGCCGCGCCCTCGGCGGCCAGCGCCTTCATGATTAACTTGCGGCCTGGCCACTCTGGGCCCCCCACGATCAGCTTGGTCTTGTCCGCGTCGAAGCACCGCTCGAGCCGTATGAAGCCGATCTGCTGCTGCAGATCGTACGTCGTGACTTCGACGTCGGTCATCTCGTCGGACGGCTGGGCCTGCTCCAGGTAGGCGCTGGTCTCCTGCTTGAGTGCTCCGCCCACGTTGCACTTCAGGAGGCTCTCCAACGCGGCGAGCCCCACTGCTCGAGCTGGGGACCCTATCTCCTTGAGCTTCTGCTTGTCCTCCGCGTCTCAGCCGCGAAGCTTGTCGAGCATGTTCTTGTAGCCCTCCACCTCGGCGGAGATCCCGTCCACGAGTGGGTGCTTGGTCGTTATCATGTACGTGTCGATGGTGATACTGTTGTTGAGGCGCGTCCTGTGGGTGGTCTGAAGCAGCAGCTTGAGCGTGGTGCGAAGCAAGGCCATCAGGTTCTTGTCCTTGCTGCTCCAGGCCGTGTCGCTGTGGGCCCCCCTCCTCGCTCTGCGGCCGCCCCTGCGCTTCCTGCGCATGTTGCCCTTGGCTGCCTGCTCGTCCTCGTACACCTCGATCGCCGTGTCGGTTGGCGCTCTCGGTGACTGACCTGACTTCATCGGCGGCTTCTGGAGGCGGGGCTTGGCCGCGGGGGGGGGGGCTCCCTCGTCGCTCCTGGAGGCGGCGCCAGATGCCTTGGAGCCCTTGGAGGAGTCCAGGGGGAGGCGCCAGCTCGCGATGATGATGATGATGATGATGATGATGATGATGATGATGATGATGATGATGATGATGATGATGATGATGATGATGATGCTGATGCTGATGCTGATGCTGATGCTGATGATGATGATGATGATGATGCTGATGCTGATGATGATGATGATGATGATGATGATGATGATGATGATGTTGATGAGGTTGATGATGTTGATGATGATGCTGATGCTGATGCTGATGATGATGATGATGATGATGATGATGATGTTGATGAGGTTGATGATGTTGATGATGATGCTGATGCTGATGCTGATGCTGATGCTGATGCTGATGCTGATGCTGATGCTGATGCTGCTGATGATGATGGTGCTGATGATGATGATGATGATGATGGCGATAATGACGGTCTTGATGATGATGCTGATGCCGTTGCTGATGCTGATGCTGATGCTGATGGTGAGTACGCTGATGATGATGCTGCTGATGATGATGGTGGTGGTGATGTTGGTGGCGGTGTGTGGTGATGGTGGTGATGATGATGGTGCGGATGGTGGTGATGATGCTGATGGTGATTGCAATGTTGATGCTGATGTTGCTGTTGCTGGTGATGATTATCGTGATGATGACAGTGGTGGTGATGATGATGGTGTGATGCTGACGGTGGTGCTTCTATTGAAGTGAGTTGTGTTGGAAACTCTTCCTAGCATGCATAGGACTCTCTTTGCATATTGGTGCAGGCTACTAACGGCCGCTGAATGCCATCAAAAGCCCCTAGAGGCCGGTAAAAGACTACGAAAGGCTACCAACGGCCGCCAACATGACACCGAAGGCCACTACTGGCTACTAAACCTAAACCGAGGCGGTGTCTGCTAGAATAAGCTTCTAAAACAATTCGCCCTATGATGCTGCTGATGATGATGGTGAGGAGGGTGAGGTGGCGGAGGATGAGTCAGAGGAGGAGGATCGTGATGATGATGATGATTCGGCGGAGGACCAGTGTAAATTACGATGGTGCAAAACATCCTCCCTCCAGGTTCCCTTTTCATAGGCCCCCACATTCATTTTTCTTACTGAGGGAAGTGCCCGGTTGGAAGAGAACCTCTTGATCACCCTGAATTGCGCCAGCACGCCAAACAAACCTGGGACACGGGGAGGAGGAGGTCCAGAGAGGTCGTTCTCGCCGTCCCGTCGTCCCTAGTCCCTCTTCCCTTCCAGGGGCTGCAGGGGCCTCCCCCGCCCCCTGGAGTATTTTTACATTGCAGTTAACTGATTTTGCCAACTCCCCCCAGCGTCAATTGCCGCTGGGGGGGGGGGGAGGGGAGGGGCACCCAGCCTTGGGTTCTAATACCATCGGTCCGGAAATGGAGGAGTCATCCTCCCGCCCTCCACGAGTTTCAGCGGAAGGCTGTTTCAGTCTGAGCATTCAAAGAGCTCGTCCAGCCCCCACTTGTGCTGGAGGACGAACAATATGAGGAAGACGCCACGGCGCTCGCTCGCCTACGTCGAGGCAGACAAGAAGGAGAAGGAAGCGGCAGAGGGGAGGAGGAGGAGGAGGAGGAGGAGGAGGAGGAGGAGGAGGAGGAGGAGGAGGAGGAGGAGGAGGAGGAGGAGGTAGGTGCCTTCGAATATACTGCAAGACGCCCGCCGCTCGCAGCCTCGAGGCTTCGCACCAGGCTTGGGACGAGGAGTTGGTGGAGGAGGAGGGGCAGCGGCTTGGGGGAGGGGAAGAGTAGGAGGAGGCAGTGGCAGTTTAGATTGAGCCTGGCCACGCACAAATCCGCCTCGCCGCTCCGCGGGAGTATGGCGCACCAGTCGCCCTCGTCCCCTGGGCTGGGCCCAAACTCGTCGGCTGCAGCCTCCTTGCAAGCTTACATGTGCATGTTGGCCCACTCGACCGCCGAATCGGGCGCGTTCGATTTCAGTACCACCCAGAACTCTGAGACAAAGGCCCTTCTGGTGAGAGCTCAGACGGGTGGAGACGGCGCTTGAGACAAGAGTGCCAGGTCTTGGGAGCGCGCGACACCCCGAAGCCGTGCCCAGCCCCAACAGGACCCTTGCACGGGCCCTCGCTCTGGCCAGCAGAGGCCCCGCAGATTTTACAAAAGCAAGTGGGCGGCACACCGTCGTCGCACCCTTCTCCCCATACTGCTCACGCAGAAGCCAGGGCTTCCCAGGCACGACCCCCAGCTACAACCCCGCCCCCACCATCTTCAGCCCCTGGCTGGAGCTCAGCGGGAAAGGGCACACTCCGAGTATGTATCGCCAGCCCAGTCCCTTCCGAGTCACCCAGGCCTTGTCCAGGCTTTCACGCCTCCAGGCTCGGGATCTAGCTGAACGTCCACAGTCCCGCCCGCCCCGCCCGTGCTCCGCGGCCCGGCATGTCCTACCCGCGCGGGCCCTCGGCCGATCTTGCGGACCATCCTTCGAGCGCGTGCTTCGTGGGCTTCTCTCTGGCGGCACATTCCACAAGGCAGCGCCTATGTTCCTTTCCTGCGCCTGGTGTCGATAACAGACTGGTTGACCAACGCGGTCTCATGGCCTTCTGCCTGTTCGTTGTAGCACTCTGGCCGTGCGTAGCCCACCACTCCCGCCACATGTGCCTGTTCGGCTGAACGGGGCTGAGGGGCTTGTGCGGGTTCTGCACACAAGAAATCGAGCCTGGAGCAGGAGGAGGGAGAGGAGGCTTTGGAAGCGGAGGAAAAGCGAGGGGAGGTGATGGTGGTGGAGGAGACTTGCGAGTGCTAGTTTCAGGAGGAGGATGGGAATGCTTGGGACCGAGTTGGAGGTGGAGGCGGGTCAACATAGAGGGGATGCGATGGAAGGGGGATGCGGACGAGGATAGGAAGGGGCGGGCTTGCGGCAAAGACTATGGCGGCACACTCTGAAACTTGATTGAGGGAGCGGAGAAACCCTGACATCCGCCGATCTCTTTGTTTAGCCCGCGGCTCCAGAAGTCACGATCGCTTGCTGGGGTAGCTTTCCGTTCCCGATTCAGGTTTGATGGTCCAGGGCCGCAGGGCATGCATCCGAAAATCGAGATCCAAAAACATGCACGGTCTAACATTCATCTTTGGGGGTCCTGGGCCCAAATACAGGTTCCCGAAAGCAGGAATCTAAGAAGACCCGCTGCTGTTTGAAAAATCGCACCGTCGGGAGGGGGAGGGGGCGGGGCGGGGGGGCAGGCGCGCCCTGCTTCCCGCTCTATGGTTGGCCCCATATTCGCTCCACCATGCGCTGCAACTGCCCGAAATTGAAGACGGTGGGGGCGTTGGTTAAGGACTGTGCCCAGCAGGCTTCTGACCCTTGATTCGGGCCGCAGTGATAGTTATCCATGGCCAATCCACGAGAGGAGTTTCACTTGTTCCCAGACCCTGGATTGTAATCCAACGTCTCCATCTGAGGCCCTCGCCGTATCTCGAAATTCTTCGTCAGCGCCGCCTCGGCAGGAGGGGGAGCAGGAGGGGGAGGAGGAGGAGGAAGAGGAGGAGGAGGAGGAGGAGGAGGAGGAGGAGGAGGAGGAGGAAGAGGAGGAGGAGGAGGAAGAGGTGGAGGAGGAAGAGGTGGAGGAGGAGGAGGCGGAGGAAGAGGAGGAGGAGGAGTAGGAGGAGGAGGAGGAGGAGATCACCACCCCCCAGGGCCGACACGCCCTGGGGGGGGATGGCCGCGTCAGGATGACACCATGGCCGAGAGATTGAGAGAGAGAGAGAGAGAAAGAGAAAAAAAGAAAGAGAGGGAGAGAGAGGGGAAACCAAAAACAAGAGAGGGAGAGAGACAGAGGGATAGAGAGAGAGAGAGGAGGACGAGGACGAGGCGGAGGACGAGGAAGAGGCTCGTCCAGCGTGGCCCGCTCCGCCACGCCCCGCCGCCAGGCTCCAGCGTCGAGCCGCCGCAGCCAGGGCTCCTCGCTGAGCCCGGGCCTCTCGCCGACCGCCGGGCCCTCAGCGGGACTGGCTGCTCCGGGGGTCGCTGCGCGCTCCGCCCCAGTGCCCCGCCCGACTCAGCCAGGCCATGCCTGGCCTCACACAGCATCCGCCACACACTGGACTCCTTCTCCTCCTCGCCCTCCTCCTCGTCCTCCTCCTCCTCTTCCTCCTCCTGCTCCTCCTCCTCCGCCTCGTCGTCCTCCTCCTCCTCCTGTGCCCTGGGGGGTGGGGAGAGGGGGTGGTAAATACGCAGCACCACGCAGTTGCGCATAAGAGTGAGGGGGCGGGCGCGAGGTGGGTCGCGGGTGGGTTGTGTGTGGGTCGCGGGGTGGGTCGCGGGTTGGGTCGCGGGTGGGTCGCGGGGGGGACGCGTGGGGGGCGACGACAACAGAAACAGCAAACAAGCATGATCCTGGCCGCGGAATCCCATTTTGCCCACGTGCCGAGGGATGCATTAAGACCGCTCGGCCCGCTCACTCTGATATCCATACCCACCGCTCGCCGAAGTCCCTGAAGATGGATCCCCCAGGCGTCGGTGATGGATAAGTCTCCGCCTAGCGGCGGCCAGGGGTCGCAGGGCACTGCCCTGTCACTCTTGCCGGTCGGGCGCTCAGCGGATCCCAGCCGGCCGCTCAGGGCGAAGGCGGGGGCGGCCCCTTCCCACTTCACTGGCGTCCCCTGTTCCCGCCAGGCTGCTGCCTGGAGGCTGGATGAGTTACCTGTTGTGGTCGGCCCCGGCGAGAGCTGGATGCGCATGGGGGCTGGCCGAAGTATCGGGAATTTGGAACCCGATTGGGGATGCTGTTGTTGGCGTTTCCAGGGGGGCGCGCTGATCTCGGCGAGATCTGCGGCCCCAGAGGGGCCCAAACCCTCGCGCGCCCCGCTCTCGCCCCTGCGAGCGGTGCCGGCGTCGAGAGTCCAGGCCCGCGCGCACACGTTGTCGCCGGATGTCTCGTTCCAGCGGTCGGTCCTCTGGTGGCCGCGCACGTCGCCCCTCCGACTGCGGGTCCTGCGCATGGCCCATCGCACGCTCCACGTGCGCGGCGTTCCAGACAGGGCCTCGCCTTCGGGGGGGGGGGAGGAGTGGACATCTCCTCCTCGGCGGCAGGCCTGCGGAGGGCGGCGGGGGTAAGAGCGCGGCGGAGGGGCCACGGGCGGAAGCTGGCGGAAGGCGGGCAGGAAGCGGCGGAGGAGGAGGAGGAGGAGGAGGAGGAGGAGGAGGAGGAGGAGAAGGAGGAGGAGGAGGAGGAGGAGGAGGAGGGAGGAGGAGAAGGAGAAGAGGAGACGGAGGAGGAGGAGACGGAGGAGGGAGGAGGAGAGGAGGAGGAGGAGGAGGAGGAGGAGGAGGAGGGAGGAGGAGGAGGAGGCGCCGACGCTGCTGGGTCCACAAGGCTTCCGGGCTCGGCCACATGACGCCGAAGGGCCGTCCAGAGATCGGCCCTCTGGCGGCCGCGCACGCCACCCTGCCGCCACGCGCACCCCGCGCGCGGCCTCCGCGCGCCCCACGCGCGGATCCAGCCGTGTGCCGTGTGTGCGCCTCCGGCTTCCAGGCGCGCTCGGGGGCCCCCCCTTCTCGCTCCTCGTGCTCTCAGCCGTCCCGGTTGTCTCCCAGGCGTGATGATGTTCCAGCCTGCTTCAAGAAGTGATTTCGATCACCCGAGAAGTACCGAAAGGATGTCTGCCCGACGAACGCCGGAGGAGCGTCGAACGGGTAGCGCCTCCCGGGGCCCGACGCCTGAAGCTCTGTCCAGTGGTGTCGCCTCTCGCATTGTCTCGTGAGCGGCACCAGACATCTTAGAAGCACGTGCGCTCCAGGTGTGTGTTCTCCAGCCGCTCCGTCGTCGGTCTGGCAGTCTTGCACCGCTACGGGCGGCTGCCGCACCCCTGGCACCCCTGATTCGGTCTTGCTGCCTCGCCGCCGTGCTTCCACGGCGCGACGCCGCGCGCACACGCTTCCGGAGCAAAGAGTACGTAGACCCCCCAGCGACTGCAGGCCTCGGAGGCCTGGATGTTGGCGCACCAGCGCCCGTATCGTGGGTTGCCTCCACTGGGCGAGGACGATCCTTGCCCCTGCGATGGTGGTAATACTCAGCTCCTTCGGTGGCCGAGAGATTACCGACGGCACCAACAGGCAGGACCAGCTTCCCCCGGTGGAGGCTCTCCCCTGTGCTGGAGGTAGTGCCAGTTGCCAGGGCCCCAGAACTTTTGGACCCCCCGCACGGCAAGTCCTACGGCCCTGCAGGTGCCAGGCACGAGCAGAAGGGGGGCAGGGGGAGGGGGGAAAGCTTCTTAGAAGCACCCTGCCTCTAAGAAGCTTTCCGTCCCCCCCCCGCTGGCGGCGCCTCTGGCGCCGCCCCTGGCGTGCTCCGGGCGCAAGGGAGGAGGGTCCAGCGTAGATCCAAAACACCCGCGCAGACCATCGAAAGTTCATATCTATGTCATCTGTTCTTTTCGAGTTACTACTCTCCTCTCCCCCTGGGTTCATGCCAGTCGGCCATGTGCTTTCTTCAGTCAGGAACATTTCAGAGTGGCGGTCCCGCCGCAGCGCTGGCCTCACCTCAGGGCTTGACTCCCATCGTTCAGAAAGGCGCTCTCGCCCCAGCGCGGGCCACACTTTGGATCCGAGCGCTTGGAGGGCCCGAGGTGCCTGTGGACTTCTCCCCCGCCCGCGCGGGACGTGCCTCTTGCCTCTCGACTGCTCGCTCGCTCGCTTCCCCTGGTCCACCTGCTCCCGTTCCTCCTGCTGCTTCTGCTGCTGCCTCCTCCGCCTCCTCCCCCGCCTCTTCCTCCAATGGACAAGCCTCCCTTTTTTTCATTCCGCATAACTCGAGGGTGTCGTTTTCGGGGTTCCAGGTCCGCTATGGGACCCTTTGGCGGATCTACTCGAAAGTCAACGGTGTGGGTGGGAAGGGCGTGATTCGGATGTCAGACATGGCGCTAGCGCGCCTGGTTTGCCCTTCCCCCTCTCCTCCCTCCCCCGCCCCACGCTTCTCTCATCCCCTCATTCCCGTTCGTCGTCTGCCTCGCCTCCGCCCCTTCCCACCAGACATCCGTTGCTGTGATCTTGGTCCATGCGCAGCCTCTCTGGCCTCTTCCGGGGGTCCCGGAGTCCGGCGAGGGCCCCCGGAATTCGAAAATCGCCGGAAACCTCCGCCGTGATTTGCCACGACGCGAGCATGTCTGGGTCCCCCCCTCCCTCTGTCGTATCCCTCTCCCCCCGACCCTCTGACTCTTGGAGGAACGCACTTCCCAGCGGCATCCGAGGGGCCACGTGCCCCCCCGCTGCGCTCTCAATAGGACTGCGCCCCGGCGCGCACTGCTGCGTCTCGTCTTGCCTCGCCCTCCCTCCCTCGCCCTCCCTCGCCCCTCCTCGCCCTCCCACCCCCTCCCTCGCTCCCTCGCCCTCTCTCCCTCGCCCTCCCTTGCCCTCCCTCCCACCACTTCCCGCCATCCCTTCGTCGCCTCGCTCCCCCCCCCCTCCCCTCCCCGCTGGGCCGCGCCCGAGGCCGCCGCTTGCAGGGCATCCCCCCCCGCCTTCGCGGCGTGCGCTGGCGCCGGGTCCCGGCACTGAGGGCGGCCCCCGACACGCGAGGGACGGCGTCTCCACGCGCGCAGGCACACGAAAGGCGCTGCGCTGGCGGGGAGAAAAGGCCGGTGCGCGGGTCATCCTCGTCCTCTCCTCTCGTCGCCGAGGAATGGTTCGGCAGCCTGATGCCGCGGAGGCAGAGATCCTCCTGCTCATCCCTCGCCCCCCCTCCTCCTGCTCCTCCTCCTCCTCCTCCTCCTCCTCCTCCTCGTCCTCCTCCTCCTCCTGGGGCACGTCGGTCTTCTCCTGCTTCCTGGTTCCTGGCAGCAGTGGTGTCTTTAGACGCTGCGGCCTCCTGGGCGCCTCTTGGGGCCCTCTTGAGGCGCTCTTGGGAGCCCTGGGAGCGCTCCTGGGGCCATCTTGGAGGACACGAATGAGCGTTGCCCTTCGGGCGCGGGATGTGTGAAGGGCGCGCCGGAGTCGACGCGCTGCCTCCATGCTGGCACCCTCGCTGGGGCCGCAGGTGGAGCCCCCCATAGCCCTGTCCCTCTACAGGAGGAGTATTCAAAAATAGTCTAAAAATCGTATGGGGATTGTTTGTTGAGTATTGTTTGGCAAGTTTTGGATATGTTTGGGGTCTTTTATATGTTTCCTCCCAAATCCGCCTGTAGGGGGACACGCCCGACCTAACCATAGGGGCACGACACGTGTGAGGGGTGCGTCGAGACGGACAGCGGAGAGCAGAGGCCAGGAGAGGAGGGCCAAGGAAGGGATGGGCGGGAGGAAGGCGGAGACGCGCGGTGCTGCAGATGCAGAGCGAGGGTCCAAGGCCACAGGAAGGCTTGGAAACACGTGGCCCCTGCTGCTATGCTGCTCATGCTTTGCCGCTGCGAATTCTACTTTCGCTGGTGGTACTGGGAATGAGTATCTACGCGCTGCTGCCGCTGAAATCACGCCTGCTGCTGCTGCTGTTGTTGTTTGTGTTGATGGGAATATTACTGCTGACGTTGTTGCTGCTCCTGCTTGTGTTGGCATTGCCTGCCTAGTCAGGTAATAGATGATATTACTGCTACTTCGATTGCTGCTGCTGCTGCATCAGCTGCGGTGCTACTTTGCGACTGCACTGGCGCTGAAGCGGGATGTCGGGATCATCATTCTGAGATGGGAACGTGGCCGATGCGAATGCGAAAGCATCGATTCTGGTCTCATCGGTGCGTTTCGGCGCCCCTCTCTCTCCGTCCTTCCTTCCGTCTGTCCGTGCCTCAGTCTGTCCACGTGTCTGTCACCTATCGGCGAGACCAGAGGGGGGAGTGAGAGGAGACAGGTCTTCTCAGAAGACGGCGGGGCTTCTCAGAAGCCCCCTGGCCTTCTGAGAAGCCGTCTCAATCTTGGGGAAGACCTTTATAAACTTGATCCGAAGGCGCGAGGCCTTCTGAGAAGCCCCGCCGCCTTCTGAGAAGGCACGCCCACTCTCACTCCCCCCAGGGCTCGCCGCCCACTCCTGGCGTCCTCGGCAGGTGTTCTTTTTATGTGTGTTCCCACCTGCGGCCCCAGAAGTCCCGATCATGCCTTTGGGGGGCAGAGCTTCCCGCCTCGGGCCCGTTCCTGCTGCCCCCCGGGGCTGCAGCAACCGGCCCCGGAGGCCGATGTCGAAAAGGAAAAACCGCCAGCAGCAAGGCAAGTCGCATCGTCGGAGATCTGGCCCTGCGGCTGCAGCGCACCTCGCTCGCTGGCCCCCCCCCCTCCGCGCGCGCGCGCTCCGCGAGGTGTTCCGCGTCGACGCGCTGGGCGTGCCGCCGTTCGGCCCGGCGCTGCGCGCGCCGCCGCAGCCGCCGCAGAGGAGGCGCGGGCCCCGCCCGGGCCGCATCCGCGGCGCCCTCCGCGCTGCCTGGGCCCCCCGCCCCCTCGCGGCCCCCCCTCGCTCTCGCGGCTCTGCTCGCTCGGCCTCCCCATCCTCGTCTCTCTTGAGGAAGAGGAGGAGGAGGAGGAAGGGGAGGAGGAGGAGGAGGAGGAGGAGGAGGAGGAGGAGGAGGAGGAGGAGGAGGAGGAGGAGGGGGAGGAGGGGGAGGAGGAGAGGACGAGGAGGACGAGGACGAGGAGGAGGGAGAGAGGAGTAGGAGGAGGGAGAAGGAGGAGCAGGAGGAGGAGGAGGTGGAGGAGGAGGAGGAGCAGGAGAGGAGCAGGAGGAGGAGGAGTTTGCCCCCCCCCTCCCCCCCCCCCCCCCCCCCCCCCCCCCTTCTCCCCCATCTGCCCCTGCCTTCCTGGAGTGGAGTCTCTCCGCCGCCTCCTGCCGTCTGCCCGCTGTCTTTTCCCCGCCATCTCGCCCTCCTCCAGCGGTGTCTATGCTCATGCTCAGGGTGAGGGCGGCGATCTGCCACCGGCGATCTATCAGGGCATATCGCTGATATTGATCAGGGTGGCCTGTACCCCGCTGAGTTTTCGGACGGCCGAGGGCCGAGGTGGTGACGATGGCGATGTGTCGCTGACCGATCATGCTGCGTATGAGAGGGCGCGCTTCTAGCGAAGGGCCCTCGGCTCAATTGTCAGCTCGGCCGTGCGCTGGAGCTTCGGCGGGGAGGCGATGCGCTGGAAAACCACCTTTTCGAAATGACGACCTGGTTACACTGCGGAAGCATGGCAACTCAATGATAGATGCGGCCCCCGAGATTGACACGTGTTGAGCCTGCCGACGCACGGCGAACGTGTTCGTTGTGCCGGGCATAGCACGGGGGCTTTCTGGCACTGCCCAGGCGGCAGATGAGTGGACAAGTTCTCCGCCGCGGTCCGCTTGACTCCTTCACGGACGGACCCCCCAATTCTGCACACCCTTGTCGCACCCACCCCTTCCCGCTCCGCTTGATCCTCCCCCACCTCCGAATTCCCAGCATCATCATCCTCCTCCCAGACCTGGCTCCTGCTCCGCATCCTCCTCCTCTTCCCCTCGACCTCGCCGCCGTCTTCCTCATCCTCCCGCGCCCTCCCTCGCAGAGCATCCTGGCGCGAGCGCGAGCGGAAGGCCCTCCGGCAGCACGCAGGCGCCGCCGACCCTCGTCGCGGCGCCCGCCGCGAGACGCTGCTGAGGCGCCATCCCGAGCGAGGAGGTGGACTTCATAGCAAGGACTGCTCTCCCCGAGGAATGAGGATCGCTGATCAAGGCTTGAGGATCGATGTCTCGTGGAGTTGTTTTTGCCACCTGGGGCCTGCAGGGGACTCCCGGCGATTTCGGTGACTTCCAGAGGCCCCCGGATTTCGGAGTGAAAGCGCCGCAGACGCCACAAACGGGATCACCAGCAGGAGGCACGGCTTGCAACACGACGGGAGAGAGTGACGATAGTACCTTTGCAGGCCTCCTTCGCGGGGAAGTCGAAGTTATCTGTCGGCGTCCGCAGCGGCAGCAATGAGGTGGTCAAGTGTGCGGATGTCGGTGCGATGGTGTCCCAACTCGGCTGTACGGCCCGTCATACGTAGACCGGGTCGCCGTTTTGTCATGGACAGCATGTGCCGAGTCAATCTGAGAGGACTTTGCAGATACAATCGAGACTCTCGGATAAGGACCACTTTTAATTCCGGGTGGGATCTGGTTGTCGGGCCGTCCTGGTTTTCGAGCCGCTCCGTAGGTGTAGTTCGGAGATCCGATTCGTGGCCAAGGCTCGCCGGGCGCTCTGCAGTTTCTCATGTGATTCTTTCCATGTAGTTGGTTCATTTACCTCTGGCAGTGACCGACCTTCTTTGAGTCCGTGCCTGCCCTGCTCGCCCGAGCGCCCCACCTCATCTGTTGTGCTGGATGGGGGGCGCGCTGGAGAGGCGACGGACAGCCGGCGCTGCCCTCTGGAAGCTGCCCTCGCCCCAGGAGTGGTGCCCAGGAGCGCTTCCCTCCGGAAGCTCCTGCCCGCCCCAGGCAGAGGAGCTTCCAGAGAGGTCGGAGGGCGCCAGCTGTACACCGACACCGATCCTCGCCGGGCCAGGAGGGTGTCGACACCGACCCGACACCGGATCGGTGTGTGTGTGTGTGTGTATCGTTGGCGCCCTCCGAAGAGGGCAGAGCTCCTGGGCACCACTCTTCCAAAAGGGGCAGAGCTCCTCGGCTCGTGTCCCACTCCGCGGGGCAGAGCCCCTCCTCCAGAGGGGAGCGCAGCCTCGCCCCTCGGCTTCTTGTCGCCCTCCTTCCCCGCCCGAAGTGCCCCCCGTCCCCGCCCTTCCGTTTCAGCCCTCGCCCGCCGCCGCCTCTCCGAGGACCCGCCGAGACGGGGCTGGGGCCGGCGGCGGCATGCAGGTCCGATGGTCCAGGGGGGTCCGGGGGTCTCCCCTGGCAGGGTCCACAGTCGATCCGATCCGATCCGAGATCGGTATCGGACAGCCCGACCCGCCTCGACTACGGCGTCTGGGCGATCCGACGCGGCCCGATGCTTGCATGGCGTTGGTGTGCATCTTGGCGCGGCCGACTCGATTGGATTCGGTTCCGACTCCGTGCCCATGCGGCCCGCTTCGATGCGTGTTCCGGATCTCCGAACCGACCCAGTTTCGCGACTCGGTGGTGTCTGCTCCTGCCCCTGCAGGTTTACCCCGTCTGCCTCCAGGCCCCTGCCCCGCTCGCGGCCTGAGCGCGTTCTCTGGAGGGCGCAGGCCAAGAAGGGCCTGGGCCCGCCCGAAGCGAGGCGGCGCTCGTGGACTAGGAGCGCGCTGGCGGGAGGGGAGGTTGGAGGCCTGCAGGACGAGAGGAGGTAGCGTGTGGAGACGTGCGGGGAAGACTGGCATGATGGCAGGGGAGGGCAACATGGGTGCTCAAGAGACGGCGCTCAATGCAAACAGGGGTGAGTCAGAGCGCCGGATCTTGAAGGATCCTGCAGTGCCAGGGTTGCCTGGACCTGGGCTCGGGTGCAGCATCCTGAAGAATCTCGCAGGAATTCGCAAGTTACGGCTGACCCGGGTTTGGGTTGACCCGTGTCAGGAGACCCCCGAGGCAATACGGGGGGATCGGGACGATCGATATGGGTATGGAACGAACGGGCACAAAGATCGACCAGATTTCTTGATCATTTTGGACAGGTCTCGCATTCGGTGTCTTGGTTGACAGCAGGCCGCCTGTCCAACAACGGCCGCTGTCGGTGTTGGACTACATTTGTTGTTGGGCATCGTACCCATTTGTTCCCCACATGCTTCGTCGTGGGGTTCTGGTTTTCTTCCCTGCCGCGCCGCACCCGCGTCTCACACACCTCCCGCCTCCTCACCCACACACTCGCACACAGCCGCACGCATGCACACATTCGCACATACAAGACGCATGTTCACTGCATCATACACCCAAGACGTCTGCACGACATACTGGGCAACACGTGAGATATGTCCCGATATGGCCGCACACGCATCATACACATACACACGGCAAGCCATGCGGCAGGCGAGCAGGCGTGGCACTTCCTCGACACCATAGGGGGTGCGCAGAGGGTGGTCCCTCAGCGGGGCCTCTATCCGTGACACGCTCGCAGATCGTGGCAGGAGCGGCACTTTCTCGACACCACTGGGGGTGCGCAGGGGGTGGTCCCTCAGCGGGGCCTCTATCCGTGACACGCTCGCAGATCGCGTGGCTCAGCGGGACACCGCTGGGGGGCGCAAAGGGTGGTCCCTCAGCGGGGCCTCTATCCGTGACACGCTCGCAGGGCGTGGCAGGCGTGGCACTTCCTCGACACCATAGGGGGTGCGCAGGGGGTGGTCTCTCACCGCGGCCGCTATGCACGACAGTCGTCCAGGCACAGCAGGCGTGGCACTTTCTCGACACCACAAGGGGGGGCGCAGAGGGTGGTCCCTCAGCGGGGCCTCTATCCGTGACACGCTCGCAGGGCGTGGTCTCAGTGCGCAGCATCCGTGACACGCTCGCAGAGCGTGGCAGGCGCGGCACTTTCTCGACACCACTGGGGGGGCGCAGAGGGTGGTCCCTCAGCGGGGCCTCTATCCGTGACACGCTCGCAGGGCGTGGCAGGCGCGGCACATTCTCGACACCACATGGGGGTGCGCAGAGGGTGGTCCCTCAGTGCGGCCTCTATCCGTGACACGCTCGCAGATCGTGTCAGGCGCGCACATTCTCGACACCACAGGGGGTGCGCAGAGGGTGGTCCCTCAGCGCGGCCTCTATCCGTGACACGCTCGCAGATCGTGGCAGGCGTGGCACTTTCTCGACGCCACAGGGGGTGCGCAGAGGGTGGTGTCCCTCAGCGCGGCCTCTATCCGTGACACGCTCGCAGATCGTGGCAGGAGTGGCATTTTCTCGACACCACAGGAGGTGCGCAGAGGGTGGTCCCTCAGCGCGGCCTCTATCCGTGACACGCTCGCAGATCGTGGCAGGAGTGGCTCTTGCTCGACACCGCAGGGGGTGCGCAGAGGGTGGTCCCTCAGCGCGGCCTCTATCCGTGACACGCTCGCAGATCTTGGCAGGCGTGGCACTTTCTCGACACCACAGGGGGTGCGCAGAGGGTGGTCCCTCAGCGCGGCCTCTATCCGTGACACGCTCGCAGATCGTGTCAGGAGTGGCACTTTCTCGGCACCACAGGAGGTGCGCAGAGGGTGGTCCCTCAGCGCGGCCGCTATGCACGACGGTCGTCCAGGGAATAGCAGGCGTGGCACTTTCTCGACGTCGTAGAGGGTGCGCAGGGGGTGGTCCCTCACCGCGGCTGCTATGCACGACGGTCGTCCAGGGCGTAGCAGGCGCGGCATTTTCTCGACACCATAGAGGCTGCGCAGGGGGTGGTCCCTCACCGCGGCCGCTACGCACGACGGTCGTCCAGGGCATAGCTGGCGTGGCACTTTCTCGACACCATCGAGGGTGCGCAGGGGGTGGTCCCTCACCGCGGCCGCTGGCTGGCTCGAATCTGTCCTCGACGGAGGATAGAAGGCTAGGAAGAGGGAGGAGGTTCAAGCAATATGGCGTTGGATGACACATAGGGGAACATTCGCGACGAGGGCTGAGAACGCAGAATTGCGCATATATTATAAACTTAAGCAAACGCACAAGATTTAAGTTAAGTATGTGGGGTTCCTCGGTAGCGTAATTCCGTATCCATTCCAGGCGTTCAATGGGGAGGGACGTGGGGATGAGAATTCGATGTTGAGTGAAAGCAGATGGGATGAGCCATTATCAGGCAATAACAATAAGACGGAATGTACGAACAGGGCATGATGTGGATTGGAAGAAGGCTTGGGTGGGCCATGAGGAGAGAATGGCCACGAGGACTGATGATGGGATGACGCTGTGCAGGAAGGGAAAAAGCTGAGGTATGATGGCAGAGTAGGATAGGACACACTTGCTGCACATAGCGTGACATGGCCAAGTCCCGGGAAGTTTCGCATGCAGGGGGGAGTCAAATGATCTAGTGGGGTACGTATGTTTGAATAGGGTGAGGGGCCTTCTGTCAACCGCTGGAGGTTCATTCCTTAGAGCATCTACCAAACCAAACCTGGCTGCGTAACTTATCTATCTGAGCCCCGTCCCTCCTGTTCGGCCCTTTGCCGAAGTCCTAGCCGATTTGTGCGGCACGAGCGTCACTCCAGGTGCTTGCCATTTGCTGGAATATGTGATGTCACACAGTCGCGTACTGTCTCCGAGCAGAGAGGCTTGCGATCAACGACGCCACGCGGTCCAATGAATCATTCGAGAACGTACCGTGGAATGCTGGAGTTTTGTGATCTGTGGGATGCTGTTTCGTCGCTGATCGCTGTACGTGCGCGAAGATGACGCGAGCCATGGTGCCCGACCCGGTTATCAGCCAAACATGTGTGCCACCGAACAAGATATGTGACCGAACACGTGCCCGAAATTGTGACCCAAACCGTAGTGCGACCGGAAGAGTGACCGCAATGAAAAATCGTATTGGCCTCGAGCCATACGTGTCGGTCACACTTGGGCGCGGTCGGAATACGTCGGAAGCAGGTTTTGGTCACACTCGGGCGGATTCACTACACCCCTCTGATGGAGATGAATGAGTCTGCGTGGCATGAGGGTTAAGGCGGTGCCTTTCTACCCTTTTCTTGCCCACACGTGTGACAGTGTGAAGCCTACGTGCGCGCCCAACGCACGCGCGCGCACCGTGCACGCGCGCGCACTCATTCACACTGTTTCCCCCTGCGCGAGGTGACGACGCCGTCACGATGCTCTAAACCGGGACACGCTTAGAGACGCTTTTCGCATTCACACACACGCACATACACACACACACACACGTGCACGCACGCACGCACGCACACCCAGACACGTGTGTGTGAGAGAGAGAGCCTCTCTCTCACACACACGTGCACGCGCCCATGCGGCCACGCACGCACGCACACACGCTCACACTCGTTCGCAAATGCGCACGCTCTTGCCCTCCAGCGGCGAAGTGGCTACACCGTCGCGAGCACCAAGCCCGGACACGCTTTGGCAAATCACCACCTGGCGTGGCAGATAGGTGGTCTGGATGGGAGCAGTCGCATGCAAATAAAACGGCCCCCAAGACCCGTGCACGCGGGAGAAGCCGAAGCACAGACATCGTATTGCAAGAGGTTAGGGAGGCGCGCAATGTTGAATCCGCAGCCCGGCTGCAAGAGCGCGACGCGGTGCACATACGCACACACACACACACGCACACTTTCACACACCTTCGCACACGCACGCTCTCTCTCACACACACAGTCACACACACACACGCATCACACACACACGCACTTTTGCGTCGGCGGCTGGGCAGAGGGTGACTACTCCGGCGGATTGGCAACAGGAGACACCCTGTATGCAAATTATGGCCGTCACGCACGGAGGAGGAGGAGGAGGAGGAGGAGGAGGAGGAGAAGGAGGAGGAGGAGGAGGAGGAGGAGGAGGAGGAGGAACCCCCGCTCGACAGGAGGAGAGGAGGCCGGGCCAACTCAGAGTCACCGATTGCGGCAGGAGGAGGGCCGAGGGGGGGAACCAGAGCAAGCATTTAGCTGCACTGAGCTGCACTGAGCTGAAGCTGGGGGGGAACGCAACCCGACAGACTTGGCGGCTGGTGGGGAAGCGACACGAGCGAATCAGAGACCCGACCCAGCGAGCCGATAGGCGCGGTCCAGAGGAAGAGCCAAAGCGCCGAGACCTGAGGGCCTCGAGGCGCGGCAGACCAAGGGGCAAGAGTGCCGAGACCAGGATTAAGTCGGGCCTGGCCCTCTACAGGGGGAATGTTCAAAAATAATATTGGAAAAATAGTCTGGGGACGTTTTTTTGAATATTTCTTTTCCTACTTTTGAGTATTCCTTTGCTTCTTCGTACGAAATCCCCCTCCAGGGGGACATGCCCGACTTGAGACTAGGAGGGCCTACGAGGCGCGGCAAGAGGCGAGAGGCGGAGGGCGGGCAG